TGAATCTGAATATAGTGAGTAGATACATCTGTTGGTACAATCACAATACTCCCATCATCCATACTTTGCGCTATTTGCATAATAACCTCATGAGTAACACTCAGATAAATAAAGTTTCTTTTTCTTATTTAGAGTATGCATGCACCAGACTTGCCAAGACCTAAAACAGTGAAAGATGCCGCACATAATGGGATGATGTTTTATTCAAAACTACAGTCGGAAGATGGCCACTGGTCTGGAGATTATGGTGGACCATTGTTTCTCATGCCAGGTATTTTCATGAGATTAGTTCATTTTATTGGTTGGGGCGGTACACAAGATGGCCACTGGTCTGAAGACTATGGTAGACCATTGTTTCTTATGCCAGGTATTGTCATGAGATTAGTTTATTTTATTGGTTGGGGTGGTACACAAGATGGCCACTGGTCTGGAGATTATGGTGGACCATTGTTTCTTATGCCAGGTATTGTCATGAGATTAGTTTATTTTATTGGTTGGGGTGGTACACAAGATGGCCACTGGTCTGGAGATTATGGTGGACCATTGTTTCTCATGCCAGGTATTGTCATGAGATTAGTTCATTTTATTGGTTGGGGCAGGACACAAGATGGCCACTGGTCTGGAGATTATGGTGGACCATTGTTTCTCATGCCAGGTATTTTCATGAGATTAGTTCATTTTATTTGTTGGGGCAGGACACAAGATGGCCACTGGTCTGGAGATTATGGTGGACCATTGTTTCTTATGCCAGGTATTTTCATGCGATTAGTTCATTTTTTTGGTTGGGGTGGTACACAAGATGGCCACTGGTCTGGAGATTATGGTGGACCATTGTTTCTTATGCCAGGTATTTTCATGCGATTAGTTCATTTTTTTGGTTGGGGTGGTACACAAGATGGCCACTGGTCTGGAGATTATATTTTTTGAAATTGGTGTTGAATAGAAAACCCTGACACAAAATATTTCAGATGATTGATTTATTGACATGAGGGCTTCTCTTGTTTATATATTTATTTCTTTTTCTAGGTTTGTTAATTGTGTGTCATATTACAAATGTGCAGTTGTCAGATGCACAAAAAGCGGAGATGATTCGTTACTTGAGATCAATTCAGCTAGAAGAGGGAGGATGGGGATTGTAAGTATTGCAAAAAAATCTTCAGAAACATTCACCAACAACACCACGTGCATACCCTCATCTTACATAGCCTTGTTACTGATCTGTCTATAAAATATATGTTGACATTATTGTAGATTACTTAATGTCGGAAGAAATTTTCACTGAGACAAAATAGTGAAACAGTGAATATTTCATGGAGTTTAGAGGCAGAGGAGTTACGGTGAATTTAAGTCTTGGTGACAAATTGTGACAAATAATTAAATTGCAAAAGTATTTAGCAGAAATGACTTTCAGAAATAGTTGTTTATCTGCATAAATCACAAAATAGTGAGAATTCTATGGCGTTTTTGAGTCAAGGAAGTCACAGTAACTTTAAGTCTTCAGGCAGGGAAGTTAAAGTAAATTTAAGTCTTTCATGCAAGGGAGTCAAAGTAAATTTATGTCTTCAGGCAGGGGAGTTAAAGTGCCTTTCATGTCTGCAGATAGGGGAGTCAAAATGATTTTAAGACTTCAGGCAGAAGAGTTAAAGTAACATTAAGTCTTCAGGCAGGAGAGTTAAAGTGACTTTAAGTCTTCAGGGAGTAATATTTTTAAATTATTTTATTTTTCTCATAATAAGCTTTAGCTACATGCAAAATATAAGGATGATCAACTGTTTGCCATTTTTGTTGACAATGCAAGATTTTGGCCAAAGCATTTTAGTTGTTGATGCTTTAATTTAGACCTCATTATTGGCCATTTAATACAAATTATTAGATACTTGTCAGATACTTGCAATACTAAATATATTGTAAATGTTGAATTTATGTTTTGAGGATTTAGATGTACAAAGTACTGTAAAATGTCAAACCCTATGTGAAAGACTTAAACCTAAAATCTAGAACCTTTTCTTGTATTTATTGTTCAATATTGGTTTTACTGGATTAGTAAGTTTTTTGCTAGTTTGTTGAAAATTGTTAATAACTTTTCTTGTTATTTGTAGACACATTGAGGGCCCAGCTACTG